TAAATCAGGAGAGAAGAAGAGGATTCATACCTTTCCCAAGGGTATTAGCACGTAAGTGAATGTAATGGATTCGACTGGAATTCGAACTTGGCTCTCTGATTCCTCAATCCGAGCGGCTATCCATTACTCCATTGTGCCTCCTTTTTTATTATAAATTATAATAAATTGTTTTGTTTGTGTTAATAAATAAATCAGGAGAGAAGAAGAGGATTCATACCTTTCCCAAGGGTATTAGCACGTAAGTGAATGTAATAGATTCGACTGGAATTCGAACTCGGCTCTCTGATTCCTCAATCCGAGCAGCTATCCATTACTCCACAGTGCCTCCTTTTTATTGTGAATTATAATAAATTGTTTTGTTTGTGTTAATAAATAAATCAGGGGAGAAGAAGAGGATTCATACCTTTCCCAAGAGTATTAGCACGTAAGTGAATGTAATGGATTCGACTGGAATTCGAACTCTGCTCTCTGATTCCTCAATCCGAGTAGCTATCCATTATGTAGTCTTATTATTGCAGCACAATATTAATGTCTTGCAACTAATGCTTACAAGGCTAAAATAAACAAGGAAGGTTCAAAACACGCGTGTCTTTTATGCTATAAATTTGATAAAACTGTTGGTCACATCGTTTCTTGTTGACGAGTCCTTGCTAAGAAAGAATACATTATAAGACATAGCAGGCTCAGACAATATACTCATTGACATGTCCATTCGATCTATGGTATTGGAGACCCGGGTACAGGGTACAACCTCTACACGAATGACGTCACAGATGCAGTGTCTGTACTGTGTAATTTTCAACTCCTCACAGACAGGAAAATCGATACAAATAGACCAAATATAGTCATAGCAGATTTCTAAAAAAAGGAACTAATTGATATAACTTGTCTGCAGGATTCCAATGCTTTTAAAAAGGATTTCTTTTTTAATTTTTTTTTTTTTTCAATTTAAATCTATGCTTTAAATGTTTATACACGAAAGTTAACTGGAAAGCACGACTCCAGAAGAATTCCACACGCGAGAAGTGCGAGAGAAGGAACTGTTAGCATAGAACTTACGGTTATATTCTTTGTAAAGCATAAGTATTCCTGAAGTGTAATTTTTCCTTAAGTATAATGATAATATTAACTGTTTCCTGATAATATTACTATTAAAATTAAGGAAATATTTGATAGTCATTGACAAAGCAGATAATGCAGATTTTGGTTAAAAATCTATAAATGACTTTATCAAGAAAATTGTTTTTTCAAGACCAGTAGCTGTTATAGTTCTCTCCAGTTCTATCCGATATCTGTCTATATCTCTGAATATTATAATTATTTACATTATTCGGACTGTTATCCTCATCTTCATTGCCATATTCACAACGTTTCGGCCTCTATATCTCTGAAATGATGTATTATGATTACTTGCATTATTTACATTATTCGGACAGTTATCCTCATCTTCATTGCCATATTCACAACGTTTCGGCCTCTATATCTCTGAGATGAGGTATTATGATTACTTGTATTATTTACATTATTCGGACTGTTATTCTCATCTTCACCGACATATTCACAATGTTTCCGTTTTAACAAGGTTTATCATGGATCCTATTTCTTGGAACACTTGCTAGAGGATGTTTTCATTTTAATGATGAATTCAGGGTAGGTGCCATCACTGCTTTTATTCCAATTCCAGATCATAGATTCTGTTTAAGAAAGATGTAGTTTATCGTCAGTCCCAGGACTTAAAAAAAGAAAGATTAATCAAGATGTTTAGGTTCAACGCTATTTCAAGAAAAAAAGTGTAATTCGTGTAGCACTCGGTCAATGAATGACGATGTTTCCTTATAAGGAAAGGGCATTAGAGACGAGGAGAACTGATACTACACTTTGATCTTTGTCCGATGGCTCCGGAGTCAGGAAAAGCTTACTTTGACTCCTATTTCTTGGAACACTTGGTAGAAGGTGTTTTCATTTTGATGATGGATTCAGTCAAGGCGCCATCACTGCTTTCATTCCAATTCCAGAAAACTTAACACTAAGCCCTTGTCTATACACTCTAAACCACCCTCCATCTATAATTAAGCATATACCCACATCAATAGAGAAAAGAATCAGTATGAACTCCGCTAATAAGGAAATATTCCAACAATACAATAATTTTTATAACACATCCCTAAAAAATAGTGGATACAAAAACGCTAACATCAATTATAGAAACAATAGTACTAACCAGAAGAAAAACACGAAAAAGAAAAATCATTTGGTATACCCCTCCGTTCAACCAAATGGTTAGTATTATGCTAGAACATAAGTTACTAGATTTAATTGAAAAACATTTTCCTACTAATAGCAGACTTAGCAAGATCTTTAATAAAAAACACCTTAAAATTAAGTTACAGTTGCATTGAAAATCTAGAAAGAATCATCAAAAAACATAATAATAAAATCCTGGAAACACACGCGCGCCAAAACAGTATTAATAAAAATCCTAAGGTAAAATCAGACAAAA